CCGCGTTGGCCTGCGCTGACCTGCGCCCTGGCATCGCTCGGACGTGTGCATTTTTTCTCGGCGAGAACCATTGAGGACGATCCTGGACCATCGAGCAAACAAAACACGCACGAAACCGAAAACTGCACGGGAAATGGACGTCCGAGCGATGGCGAGGCCTGCGCTGACCCGCGCTGATCCGTGTGACCTTCGCCGACCTGCGCTGACCTGGCGAGGTTTGTGGAACTCCCCCGCGGAAACCCTGCGGACCCCCCCCTGGGGTCTGCGGAGCTCCCTCCTCCTCGGTCTGTGGAGCCGCCTCCCTCTTGGCCCAACTCGAGGCCCTCGTGGGCCCTTCGTGGGACCGTCGTGGACCATCTCGGCGCAGTGCAGAGGCAGCGGAGATCCGGCCACGCCGGCGGGCGTGGAGGGGCTCAAGGTGGCCGTGCATCCGTCTCGGCCGACAGGGGGGCCTGGAGCCGAGATGCTTGCAGCCAGCAGGCCGTCTCCCCTGCCTCCTCGTCCTCCTCCTCCTCCTCCTCCTCCTCCTCCTCCTCCTCCTCCTCCTCAACCTCCTCCTCCTCCTCCTCCTCCCATCCCCCCCGCCCCCGTCCATGCTGGCCAGCCCGCGCGGCTCTCGACCCAGTGCCGCAGCTCCGACGGCGGCCACCGCTGCGCGCAGGAGCGCGGGGAGGTGGGGCGAGCCTGTGCAGTTGCTCCGCGAAGCTCTGCGGTATCGTTTGGGGATCAGCGCTGGGATCCACACCTTGGCAGTCAGCGCCTGCGGGAAGCGCAAGCAGTGGCAGCAGGCGCTGTCGCTGCTTGGCGAGATGGGCAGCGTGATGCTGGAGCCAGACGTCATCTGCCCGAAAGTTCTAACGTTTCTGGCGAAGCGCGCCCCACAATGCACAGGAGTAATATCTCCCAGGGCCCCTGTACCGGCCGAAGACGATCCAACGACGCCCCCCATTGGTTCGCAATATGGATACGTCCGAGCCGAAAGGAGCTCTCCCCCACCAGGGCCAACGGGAGCTGAAGAGGTTCCCGAGAGCGTCATCCCGCGGAGAGCCCCGTGGAGGTGAGAATCGTTGTATTCGTGCTGGTCTCATGCGCCCACGAAGGACCAGGACCCAAGGCTTCGTCGTCGTCGTCGTCCTCGCTCTTTCTCCGCATATTCTCCCAGGGCCGGATCGAAACGCTGCTTTGCTGGACTTCGGCTGTGTTTTATTTTTCGTTTTGGAAGGGAGGCACAGGACAACAGGTGCAGCAAAACGAACAGCAGCACGAAAACAAAACGAAACACAAAGTTCAGGGCCAGCCCTGTGTTTTCCCACGCGCGATTCACACTGGGAGCCGACGTGTATCTCGTGATCCGGCCCAAAACCGCCGTGCTCTCACAAAGGGTCGTGTTTTCTCCCAAGTCATCCTGTGGTGTTGGGTCCCCGTTTAAAAGAGACAGCGCCCCGCGTCCTCACTCCTCCTCCCGCTCCTTCCTTCCTCCTCCATCATCATCGTCATCACCCGTTTCAGCGCACCCTTCACACGGTCCGTGGCCCCACAGGGAGCCGCACCGAAGGTTCAAATGCCAACGTTCGCATGCGGCCACCGCACCCATTTGGGCACACCCCTCACGCGTTTCGTGGCCCTGCACGGAGCCCCACCGAAGGCCCAAATGCCAGCGCTCGCATGCGGCCATCGCACCCATCTTGGCACACGACTCGCACGCTTCGTGGCTCCATAGGGAGCCCCACCGAAGGCCCAAATGCCATCGTTCGCATGCGGCCACCGCACCCATTTAGGCACACCCCTCACACGTTTCGTGGCCCCACAGGGAGGCCTAATCCGATTTACCGAACGCCCCAGATGCCAGCGTTTGCATGCGGCCACCGCCCCCATTTGGGCACACCCCACACACGTTTCGTGCCCCACAGGGAGCCCTACCGAACGCCCTAAATGACAGCGTTCGCATGCGGCCACCGCATTCATTTTGGCACACCCCTCACACGTCTCGTGGCCCCACAGGGAGCCCCACCGAAGGCCCAAATGCCATCGTTCGCGTGCGCCCACCGCACCCATTTGGGCACACCACTCACGCGTTTCGTGACCCCGCACGGAGCCTCACAGAAGGCCCAAATGCCAGCGTTCGCACGCGGCCGCCGTACCCATTTGGGCACACCCCTCACACGTTTCGTGGCCCCACAGGGAGGCCTACCGAAGGCCCCAATGCCAGCGTTCGCGTGCGGCCACCGCACCCGTTTGGGCACACCTCTGACACGTTAACCCCGTGCCCCGGATATTCAATGATCCCCCCTCTTTTCCCATTGAGAGTTTTTGTCCCCGGCCAATGCAGATTCAGTCGGGGAAGTGGGGCGGCAAGGCCGAACTTGATTATCGCGGGGGAGCGTTGCGAGTCGAAGTTGTTATTTTCTTATGTTGTGTAGCAAGGATTCGCATGGATGTCTTACGGATTCCTGTAGATGCCCTCAGGACTCCCATAGATGTCATAAGAAAACACATGGATTTCCAAGAAGGAGCCTTATGGACCAAGGAATCCTATGGATGTCCTAAGGCATCATACGGATTGTCTAAGGAAACCGATGGATTTCCTAAGGAATCTTCTTTCTTCTCATCCTTGCGCTCCCGCCCCGAACTGTTGTATCCCGCGTGTTTTTGTATCACCGCAAACGGGCCGCCATGGATTCCTACACATGCGCCATTGAAAACTATCTAAATGAATTGAGTTTCACGAGTTGAACACGTAAGGTCCCGAATCGACGAAAGAGCGTGTTCTACCGCTGCTTGCGGAAAACCGGGGGGGGGTCACTACCGGTTCGAACCCCTCCCCCCCCCCCCCCCCCCTCGGAACCGGGGGGGTCATCTACCCGGTTCGAACCCCTTCCCCCCCCCCCCCCCACAGGGTGCTTATGAGAAGGGCGGGGGGGGTCACTACCGGTTCGACCCCCCCCCCCCACCCTCGAAACCGTGTGGGGGTGCGTGCGGACATGTTGGGTCGGTGTTGGTGGGGCAGTGAGTGAGGGGGACAGCGGGGACAGTGGTGGGGTCAGTGGTCAAATCCGAAGTAGTGATTGGACAGTGGTGGGGACGATAGTGGTGGGGACAGTGGTGGGGACAATGGTGGGAACAGGGGGGACAGTGGACAGTGGTGGGAACGGTGGTGGTGAGGACAGTGGTGTGGGGACAGTGGGAATGAGGTGGAAATACTGGGACAGTGGAGGGTACAATGGTGGTGGGGACACTGGTAAAGGCGGTGGCGAGGACGGCGGTGGGACAATGGGACAGAGGTACAGTGGGGACAGTGGTGGGGACAGTGGGGACAGTGGTGGGAACAGTGGGACAGCTCAGTGGCACAGCGGAGGGGTCAGTGGGACAGTGGGGACAGTGGGGATAGTCGGGCAGTGGTTGGGGCCGTGGAGACAGTGGGGAGAGTGGAACCGTGGTGGGAACAGTGGTGGGGACAGTGGGGACAATGCGACAGTGGTGGGGGCACTGGTGGGGACAGTAGGGACGGTGGTGGAACCAGTGGGGACAGTGGTGGTGAGGACAGTGGTGCTGGGAACAACAGTGGGGGATGTGGCGCGGACGGTGGTAGGGACAGGGAGTCGTTTGCTGGCGGTGGGGGGGGGGGGAGGCGTACGAACCGGTAGTGACCCCCCACCGGTTTTCGAGGATGGGGGGGGGCGGTCGGTTCCTAACCGGTTTATTGTGTCACCCCCCGGTTTTCCGGACCGGAGGGGGGGGGGGGGAGGGGTTCGATCTGCGTGCGCGTTGGTCCTCTCCCGGTTTTCGACGGCGGTCCGGGGGGGGGGGGGGAGGGGTTAGGGGAGGGGGGGGGTTTTGCCGGGAGGGACGGGGGGGGGGGAGGGGTTCCAGCAGGGGGGGGGGGGATTTTTCGGAAGGGGGGGGGGGGGGATCCCCCGGGTTTCCGAGAAAGGTTGGCAATTTCCACAGTAAAGCGGCAGGTGTCACGCTCGCTCGATTCGACGATGTTTTTCATTGGGTTGGAAAATTGAGTCCTTGGGGATCCTCACTCCTTCCTCCTCTCCTCTGACCCTGCCTATCCTCCTCCTCCTCCTCCTCCTCCTCCTCCTCCTCCTCCTCCTCCTCCTCTTCCTTTTCCTTATAAATAATTTCTCCCTGTCGCACCCCGAGGCCAGTTTGTAGGGCGGGCCAGGCGTTTCGCCTGAAACTTCCTCACCGCTTATTATTCCCAAGCTTAAATGGCATCAGTTTGACAGATGGAGGGCGGGTCGCTTTCAAAATGTGGCTCTCGCCCTAGCGCCGCGCACATTACTTTTAGACGTTTGCTGGAGGTTCACGGATTGAGGGCGGATGGTTTTCAAATTGTGGTTCTCGCTTTTGTGCCGCGCACTTGTGTCTTGCCGCGCACATGTGTTGTAAACATTTGCAAGAGTTTCACGGATTGAAGGTGGGAGGTTTTCAACATGTGGTGTTCGCTTTGGCGCCGCGCACATTCGTTTTAGACGTTTTTTGTTGCAAGAGTTTCACGGATTGATGGCAGGTGGTTTTGAAAGTGTGGTTTTCGTTTTATCGCCGCACACTTTCGTCGTAAACATTTGCAAGAGTTTGTATTTCTTGAGGACGGTTCCTTTTCAAACTGTGGCTTTCGCTTGGGGGCCGCGCACATTCGTTTTATACGTTTGCATGATTTTACGGGTTCCCATGATCAACGTACCAGAGTTTGTGTTATGAAAGGTTTCAGGTTTATGCGGGTGCAACAGTTATGTTGTTTCGCGGTCTTGAAGTGTCCACAAAGCCGGCGTCCTGACACGAATCCAGATCGTCAGGTCGCAGCAGTCAGGTTGATCCGTGGCGTGGAAATCCAGAAACCATTGCTTTGGCATGCCTCAAGGTCTTCGAATGGTTGTCTTCCAACGAGGCAGTTTCCTCAATGGAAATGAGCCGTTGTAGGGGCCTGTGAAGAGGGAGTTTGGGGGAAAGGTTAACTGCAACATCGTTGATGACTCTTTGGTTTACACTGGTCCTCCTCCTTTTCCTCCTCCTTATCCTCCTCCTCCTCCAATGGGTTTCCGAAGGGATCCTATGGATGCCCTAAGGAATCCGATGGATTTCCTAACACAGCCTACCGAGTAGTTCAAGAAGCCTCAGGATGTCCTAAGTAATCCGACTGAGGATTCCCTAAGGAAGCCTGTGGATTTCCTCAGGAGTCCGAAGGATTTCCTAAGGAATCTTCTGGCTGTTCTAAGGAATCTGGTTGATTTCCTCAGGAGTCCGAAGGGTTCTCGATGGAATCCTAAAGATCCCCCAAGGAATCCGACGGACTCCCTGAGGAATCCTTTCTGGATGTCCGAATCCTAAGGATTTTCTGAGGATTCCCATGGAGCGTTCAGAATCATCTTTATCATCATCTTCGTCTCCTGGACCCCGAACTTTATTTTCCCATGGGGCTTAATATCAGGGGCATCTTTTGTCAAATAGCCCCATAGGGAGCTCCTCCGAATGCGGCGCATACAACGACAGTATTCAAAATTGCATTTGGTTGGGTCCTTTCTCCAGGCGAAGTGAACGTTTGTGTCGGCGCCTCGCCTCGCCAAGGCCGCCACATAACAGGACGAAAGTCCAGTCATACCGATCAAACAGTATGAGGGGAGCCCACTCCTCTTCCTCCTTCTCCTCCTCCGCCTCACCCCTCCTCCTCCGCCTCCCCCCTCCTCTTCTCCTCCTCCTCCTTTTCAGAGATCTGTCCAGACATCGGCGCGGACTGGTTCGTCCTGCCGGGCGTGGATTCTCCTCTGATCCACGTCAATCAGCTACAACGCCGTGATCGCCGCGTGCGAGAAAGGGAGGCAGTGGCAGCAGTCGCTGTCTCTGCTCCGCGAGATGCGGGAAGCGCAGTTGGAGCCCGATGTCAGTCCGCCTGCTCTTTTTCGTGCCCCTCCCCGTCCTCTCTATGATTCCAGGAACTCCACGAGCTGTTCAGCTTCGACGCCCTGTTCTCTGGATAAAACCTACGAGTTGCGAGTCCCAGGTTCAGCACACCGTAGATCTGCTCACGGGTTCACACTGGTCAGTTACAACTCTGGGATTAGCGCGTGCGAGAAAGGCGGCCAGTGGCAGCAAGCCTTGCTGCTGCTGAGAGAGATTTGTGATATGAAGGCAGACCCCAACGTCGTCAGCTACAATGCTGGGATCAGCGCGTGCGGGAGAGGCGGGCAGTGGCAGGTTGCAGTGTGGCTGTTTAGCGTTATGCGGGATGCGAAGCTGGAATCAGATGTAATCAGCTACGGCGCTGGGATCAGCGCGTGCACAAAAGAGGGGCAGTGGCAGCAGTCTCTGTTGCTGCTCAGAGAGATGCGTGATGCGAAGTTGGAGCCGGACGTCATCTCTCCCACACTGCAGGGCCCCGCGCGTGCGCGCGCATCAGCTGGCCCTTAGGGCCCCTTCGTTCAGGGCTCCCGGAGACCCGGGCGAGCCCCCTGAGCTCCAAGAGGGGCAGGCGGCCGTGGGACGGCGAGGCCGTGCAGGCAGGGGCTGCGGCGGGGGGGAGGAGGAGGAAGAGGAAGAGGAGGAGGAGGAGGAGGAGGAGGAGGAGGAGGAGGAGGAGGAGGAGGAGGGGGAGGAGGAGAAGGAGGAGGAGGCACCAGAGTTGGCTCCCACAGCGCCCCAGGAGGGCCCCGAGAGGCTGCCCACGGCTCCAAGAGGCCCCAGAGAGGGCCAACGAGGTTCAACGAGGCCTCCCAGAAGCTGGTCAGTACACTGCATGCACTTCAAACCTTGCAAGCTTAAACGAAACACGTGTTGTTGGCTTCTCGGGCTTCTCGGCGCAGGGTGGCCCCAAGACGGCTTCGGATGCGCCTTTTGCGTGGAGGCTTTTGGTGGGCAGGGCCAGCGGTGTCCACGTTTCCCATCGCACTACGAGTGTTGCGCAAATCTTGCAGCTGTGGACCTGGGTGAGGGGCGAGTGTGCCGTCGTGGATGGGTCGATATACGGACAGCGTGAGTCCGGTTTGGGCTTCTCTCGACTGTTAAGAGGCCGCCTTCCTCAAGGGTTTCTGCTCGGAGGCATTTTGGCTCAAGGGTTTCGGCTCGGAGGCCAAAAGGGCCCGAATTGGCTCAAGCCCTTCGGCGGTAAGGCCAGAGGAACAAGCCTGTTATGCGCCCGCGCCTGTTCTTCCGCCGAGGTTGCAGGCACGTGTGCCCACAGGGGTACCAGAGACGGGGAATCTTGAGCGGCATCTTCAAGGGAGGGAAGGGAGGGAAAACCTCCCCGACCCCCAGCATTTGTTTGTACTAAATGGCCCTGTGCGTTTACCAAACAGCCCTGCCTCGTGCGTTCACTCAACGGCTTCGCTCAGCGGGTTACTTGTTATAGGGGCTGCCTCTCTGCGCTCCATATGTTTTTGTTAGCTAGGAGCTTGTATTGTGTCATCCTTGTGCGTAGCTGCTTTGATTCGTCAGAAAATGCTGTGGCAGAGTTGGGTGGTGAAGCCGACTGCGGCCCGTCAGTGGCCAGGGAGTTCCACTCACGAGTAAATCGGAAGTCGTCTGCTGCAGTCCGAGGACAGGCCCGTGCGGAGGTGGCCGGAGGGGAGCGGGTCTTTCGCGGCCCCCTGGAAGCACCAGCGGGGCCCACGATCAGTTCGGCAACTGCCAAAACCGAGAGGCCGCAGCGCTGGCCAGCAAGGTCGGGCTAGTGCCCGATATAGCCGGCCACATGTGGGGACGCTTCGCCGAGACTTCCAGGGTGGGCCCTCAAAGGCATCAGCTGGGAAGATCAATAATATGTTTCTTGTGGCCTGCAGTGGTCAGGACAGCGTCGGTGGCGGCTACGGTGCGGTCTCACTGGTGAGACCTTGCGTGGGTGCGATCGCGCACGCTGTGCAACTAAGTTACCTTGCAAGTCTGATTCATCCAGCTGCCAACGGCAAGTGCCGCCACCGTGTCTGGGCTGTGCACCACCAGCCTAGTGGATGATCGTTGGGATCTCGTTGGGGGCCTCTCGGGTGTCTCTTGGAGGCAGTTTTGAAGCCTCGTGGGGGCCTCTTGGGGGCTTCGTGGGGCTCTCGTGGGGTATTTTTGGGACCGTCGGGGGCCTCTTAGGGCCTCCTCGGGGGCCCTTGGGGCGGAAGGCTCGGATTTTCGGTTTGCGTACCCTGTCTTGGGCCTCTTTTGGGGCCGTCTTGGGGCCATCTTGGAGATCAGTTGGGCCGTTTTGGGGTGGTCTCAGGGGCCTGCTGGGCCGTCTTGGAGCGTCCGAGCGCCGAAGAGGCGGGAGGAGGGGCGCGCGCCCCCGGCGAGAAGGTGGCGAGCTTGCGCGCTCCACTTGGACTGGGCATGCCCTCCTGCGCCCCGGCGCGCGTTCGGCAATCGCCCGCTTGCGCGGGCCTTCCTGAAGACGCTGGTCGGCGCGTCCGAGCCCCCAGACAAGGCGCACTTCGAGTCCTTGTGCTCGGGGCGGCCGGCTTCGGGCGCAACCCAGCCTCGGGGCTTCTGGAGATCGGCCGGGTGCGCCGCGTCTGTCGACTTGCAGGACTGAGGCACCAGATAGAAGAACCGTCGCATCGCTGCTGGCGCCAAGGGATCTGGCGACGCCACATGAGACCAGGCCGCGCGGTCGAACCGCGATACAGAGGTTGCGATTGGCGCTGTTAGGGGGTCTTTTGGTCTCGGAAATCGACCTCTTTTGCCCAGCGGTGTACTTCAATTCTTGGGCGGGGGGGCGCGGGCCCGCCGGCGCATGGAAGGCGCGCGACATCACTCACATCAGAGCCAACGACGCGGATGCAACAGCCCGAGCGACAAAGGCGCACATCCCAAACGGTCTGAACACAGCACGGGCCGCAGTGCTTCTGTAAGAACACGTTTGGGAAACCCATCGCTGGTGTCGCGTTTGACTGCGAAGGTGTTGTCCGCTAAAATTCGCTGGCCCCCAGAATGCGCAGCGGGCGCGGTCTGCGACGTGGCATCCCGAGCGGCTCGTACCAGCACTCCAGCGCAACTTGGGATAGATATTCGGGGGCGCCAGATCGCAGTTCCACTGCGTCGGGGGCCCAGCGGCCATGCGCGCCATAGTGGAGCATTTCTGTGCCGGCCCAATGCGCCAGTACAGCGACGACGCGGTGCATGGATCGCGCGCGCGTGGCCGCTTGCGCGCGGTTCAGCTGGGCGCGATTTCGCAATGCGAGTGGGTGGAGGTTCCTTCTTCAGAAGTCGCATCTGCCAGGTGGTGCGTTGAAGTTGCTCGGGGCAGAATTATTCATGACCCCCCCTCGGCCTGTCGCTCGGTTCCCAGATCAAGAAGCAGCAGCCTTGGGCTGTGATGTTGAGCGCTACTTGCTGAGCTGTCGGCTGCCGGCCGCAGAGGCGGGCCCCCTCGGAGGCCGCTCGGGGCGGGCGCGGTCGCTTCTGTTCGGCCGCCACGGTTCCGCGGCAACGGTGCCATTGGGTCTTCGGCAGTTCGATGGCTGCGGGGGGCTTGGCGTGCCGGGGCTTATCGACACCTCGCCGCGCAGGTTCTGGTGCGTTCTCCGCGAGCAGACAGGCTGCGAGGTCCATTTCGAGATATTGGATCGTGGCCTCCCGTTGTCGCGCCGCGGCCGGCGGCGGCGAATTCGCTGGGCGAGTTGACGCTGTTGCCCTTCCGCCCAATGCTCACCGCCACTGCGGTGCCAGAGCCATGGCTGAGACGGCGGTTTGGCCATGACCGTGCGAACGCCGTCCAGGAGGTCGAAGCGGCTGGCCTGCTACTGGCGCTGGCTACGTGGCCGTCGTCGTTGCCCAGGTGTGTAGCGGCGTGTGTTGGTTCTTTCCATCGACAACGAATCCGTGAAATATTTGTGGATGAGCGGCTCGTCAAGGGCCGTGCATACGGGCGATATCGCGCACGCGACCTGATGATGCATCACCGCGCTGGGAGCGGGCGGCTTAAGCAAGCAATATACTCGACAAGGCGTCGCACGGAAATCTCGCCGAGCTTCCCGAGCATCGGTGGGTCTTCGTTGGGCCGTTGCTGCTGGACATCTGCAGGCGGGACGCAGGCCAGAATTAGGCCTGGGCAGATCACGGATGTGATTGTCGGGGCCCGACTGTTGATTGGTTGTCCTCACAAAGTGTGTAAAGTTACGGGGCGGCAGCGTGGAACCCAAACAAAAAAAACACGAATGTTCAAACGCAATTTGGGATTCGGTGTGCCAGCGTGGACCCCAAACAGGGTCAGCCTATGTGTACGCGCTGTTGTGGGAAACGGCTCGTCACCGTCGTTGTCGTACCCGTCGTCTTCTGTATGCTTTCTTTCCTCACTTCTCTTTCGCCTAACCTCAGAGTGTCTTTGCTCAACAAATAATTGAAACAAACGATGACTTACTAAAGCGAGAAGCGGATATATTAATTTGCGTCGCCGGGTCAAAGCATGACAAAACATCATTTAGGAAACGCGCAAACCGGCTTACCAAATTCAAACACCGATTTCCTAAATCCGGGGCCGTGCATTGGACATACTGAGTGGCTCGATCACCTGCTGCTGCCAGCCCCCCCCCCCCTTGTGCGCTCCCGGTTGGCCGGAACCTCACTCGCCTCTCCTCGTCCTTCCCTTCCCCGCCCTCCCGTTCGTGTTCGTCGGCCCTCAGCCTGTGTGTTGCCAGAAAAGCCCCTGGCCCAGGGTGCTCCCAGGATCCCCAGGGTGGCCCAGACGGCCCCCTGAACGCTCTTGTAGCGAGGCCCACTAGGATTGCCGCGGGTGTTACTAAGTGGATATTGGGGTTTCGAGTGGATGCGAAGGTGGGTTGTATCTGGCCCAACCTGGCATGCAAGTGGGTTACAAGTTCCCCGTGGGGGGGTAGATAATTCCGCTAAGTGGGCGGAGCCCACTTAGCACGGATCGTAAAACTCCCGCCGCTATTTGGGGCATTTGTAGCCCACTTGTAAGTCACGGTGGGCCAGATATCACCCACCTTGGAAAGAGCGTGTTCTACCGCTTCTGGCGGAAAACCGGGGGGGGGATCACTACCGGTTCGAACCCCCCCCCCCCTCCCCCCCAGAAAACCGGGGGGGGTCACTACCGGTTCGAGCCCCCCCCCCCCCAAGTTCATCATGAAAGGGGGGCGGGTCGTTATACCGGTTCGAGAACCCCCCCCCCTTCCTCGAAAACCGAAGGGGGGTGCGGACAGTGGTGGGGACGGTGGTGGTGGGGACAGTGGTGAGGGGACAGCGGGACAGTGGTGGGGACAGTGGGACAGTGGTGGGGACTAGTGGTGGGGACAGTGGTGAGGACAATGGTGGGAACAGTGGGGACAGTGGACAGTGGTGGGGACGGTGGTGGTGGGGACAGTGGTGTGGGGACAGGGGGAGGTGGAAACAGTGGGACAGTGGTGGGTACAGTGGTGGTGGGGACTGGTGAAGGCGGTGGCGAGGACGGCAGTGGGGCAGAGGTACAGTGGGGACAGTGGTGGAAACAATGGGGACAGTGGTAGGAACAGTGGGACAGCTCAGTGGGACAGCGGAGGAGTCAGTGGGACAGTGGGGACAGTGGGGATAGTCGGGCAGTGGTTGGGGCCGTGGAGAAAGTGAGGAGAGTGGAACCGTGGTGGGAACAGTGGTGGGGACAGTGGGGACAGTGCGACAGTGGTGGGAGCACTGGTGGGGACAGTAGGGACGGTGGTGGAACCAGTGGGGACAGTGGTGGTGAGGACAGTGGTGCTGGGCTCAACATTGGGGGATGTGGCGCGGACGGTGGTAAGGACCGGGAGTCGACTGCTGGCGGTGAGTGGGGTGGGTGGGGAGGGGTTCGAATTGGTAGTGACCCCCCCTCCGGTTTTCGAGGGGGGGGGTCTCGAACCGGGGTAGTGACCCTCCCCGGTTTTCGAGGGGGACGGGGTTAGGGCAGGGAGGGGGTTTTGCTGGGGGACGGGAGGGGGGGGGGGGGTCCAGCAGGGGCGGGGGGATTTTCGAAGGGGGGGGGGGACCCCGGGTTCCGGAGGAAGAGGGGGGCAATTTTCCACAGTAAAGCGGCGGTGGATCACGCTCTCTCCCACCGTGGCATCCATTTGTAACCCCCCTATCCACTTAGCAACCCCCGTGGTGATCCCAGCACAGGGCCCCGGGGGCCCAAACATGAAGCGAAAAATTGGGGGTACCTCGGCCAGGGGCACTTTTAGCAACGCCCGATGTGCGTCCAAGGAAAGTTGGGGGTGACATGGGGGACCTTCCCACGGCTCGAGGCTCCCACAGCTTGCGTCACTGACTGGGGGCTGTCAAAAGGCCTTTTGCGAGTTCGATGACGCCGACGGCGGCGGCGACGAAGACGGCTGAGGCCTGAGCAGTGGCCGCCGCGGAGGAGTAATAATTGTCCATGAAGTTCGGGGGGTCCCAATGATCTGTCAATATCCCGCGCAATCCGTATAGACTTCCCCATCACCGAGGGAGGGTTACGGACCACGTGGGGTTGGACACAGCAGAGGCAGGAGACACATAGCGCGCAGGGAGAGTGCGGACGATGAGAAGTCTGATCTTTTCTTGTGCCGTTTTGTTGCTTTCGTCGGGCCCTTGGGGGACCGCTGAGCTATCGTAGATCGTGGGTTTGTTGCCTTTCTCCTAGTTCTCCTTGCCCATCGTTTGTCAGCCCTCCTCGGTCATCGTTCCTCTTTGCTGGTTTCCCTCTCTCTCTCTCTGTCTCTCTAGGCTTCTCGCACCTCCTTGCGCCCTCCTCCCCCTTACAATTTTCGCTCGCCCCGCAGCCTTCTCTTTTTGTTGGCGGTCGGTTTTGCCTTGTCACTCCTCGCTGACCGCTCGCTACTGCTCCAGCCTGCCTCCTCGATGTTGACTCCTTGCTCCACGATCCTCCTAGCCATAAGCGCGACCGCAGCAGACACCAGCGACAATCATTGCCGGCAGCACGCGTCGGACGCGGTGAGCAGCAGCGGGGAGGGCAGCAAGCACAAAGCATCAGCCGGCATTTGTCAGCACGAGCGGCAGCTCGCGGCAGCGCCTGGCCGCATCAGACATCAGCACGCCCCGGCCAACACCAGCCCGTAGCAGCGAAGAAGAGCAGCCTGTAGATCGTATGTCGCGGTCGAGAGCATCGAGCATCGGAAGCAAAGCAGAAAGCAGGTGGTCTGGCCAGAAGCTATCAGACCACCAGCGTAGCAAGCAGGATAGCAGGCGAGGAGACAGGTAGGCGAGAGATCCTGACTTTCGCCTGCGTCGAAGCACTCCTGCCAGACAGCCCATGGTTCAGCCTTAGTCAGCTACGCTGCTGGGGTCAGTGCATGCGAGAAAGGCGTGCAGTGGCAATGGGCACTATCTCTGTTGAGAGAAATGTGGGATACGAAGATTGAGTTAGACATCATCAGCTACAACGCGGGAACAAGCGCGTGCGGGAAGGCGGGAGAGTGGACGCGTGCGCTCTCGTTGCTCCGCGGGACGATCGAGGCGAGTTTGAGGCCAACCGTCATCACCTATGGCGCTGGGATCAGCGCGTGTGAGACACGGGTTCGGTGGAGACACTCGCTGCTTTTGCTCCGCGAGCAACGAGAAGCGATGGTGAGGCCGGACGTCACCTGCCAAAACGCTGCGATCAGCGCGTGCGCGAATTCCGGGCGGTGGCAGCGGGCTTCGGTGTTGCTCAGCGAGATGTGGGACGTTGGATTGGAGCCCGATGACATCTGTTTGGGTCGCGGGTGGGTCGCGGGCGGGTCGTCGGGTGGGTCGCGGCGGGGTCGCGGGCGAGGACGGCGAGGACGGCGACAATATCAACAATGCAACAACACCAACAGCAACAACAACAACAACAGCAACAACAACAAGTTCAACAACATCAACAACAGCAGCAGCAGCAACAGCAACAACAGCAGCAGCAGCAACAACATCATCCACGGAATCCCATTTCAGCCAACGCACCCAGGGACAATGAATGACCGTTCGGCCCCCTCACTCCGATAACCACGTTGGCATCCGCCGGGAGCCACAGACGGCCCCGAGAGGCCACACGGGCTTCAGGCGGCCCCCCCGACGGCCTCGGGAGGCTGCAGGCCGACCTGCGCTGGCTGGATGCTAAGGTGGGTTATATCTGGCCCAACCTGGCTTATAAGTGGGTTACAAGTGCCCTAAGTAGCTTAGGGGGGTTGACGATCCGGGCTAAGTGGGTTCCGCCCACTTAGCGGAGTTATCTAGCCCCCCTAAGCCATTCGGGGCCCCTTTGGTTTTCCCGAGATCGCTCCCGGCCCGTCCACGGCGCTTCCGAGGGTTTCCCCCCGAGGCCCTCCAGAGCCCCCTCTCGCCCCCGCAGCTGGCCAGAGCCCGAGCGCACGTGCCAAGCGCGGCCTCCAGAGCCCCGAGATGTGCCCCGAATCCGCTGAGTCAGGGTCGGGCCGCACAGCTCCCGAGGATCTCGTTCAGCGCTAGGTTTGGCCCGCCCTCACCGGCCAGGAGGGCATCCATGTCCTGCCCAGTCCAGAAGCTTCGCGCCGGCCACAGCGAGTGAGCAGTGGGTCAAAGTGTGCACGGAAGCGGATGCCTTCAGCACGCCGTCCACGCCTTGGACCCCTTGTTCCCACTTGCGAGCTGCACCGACGGAAGTAGTCAGCAGGTCGCTCATGGGAGCCGGCAACATTCGTGCAATTCTTTATTACTCCAGAATTCGTAATAAAAGGGAGGGGGTCTGGACCCTCCAAGACAAGCCATTTCAGACCTCCCCCGTGGGAGAACCCTCCAAAACATCGTCCCCAGACCCCCCCAGGCCCTCCAAGACAGCCTGGAAGAGACCCCCCCCGAAATGAGACCCCCCTCCCTTTATTACGAAATCTGGAGTACCACGGGCCCCCAAGCTTGTCTCGGGCGGCCTCTTCTTTTTGTTTTCCAGGCCGATGCGTTTTTCTACGCCCACGGGCTGCAGCTGCCCACGGGGGCGAGTCCGAGCCTGGGACCCCAGAGGTCTCCAGAGGCCCCCAGAGGCTCCAGCGGGCTCCAAAGGCCCCCCCTGTGGTTCGAAGAAGCAGAATTGATATAAACAGCATAAACATAAACTTTCGGCGCTCCGCGCGGTTCTCTTGGATCCGCGCTGGGCTCCCGGCGGCGCCTCCAGCGCCGCCCCTGGCGCGCTCCGCGCGCCAGGGAGGGGGGTCCAGCGCAGATTCAAGAAATCCGCGCGGAGCGCCAACAGCTTATGTTTCTAGCGTTTTTGCTGTTTGACGCTCTTGCTCGGCTCCACTTCCCTTGTCAGCTACAACGCCGCGACGAGCGCGTGTGACGAAGGCGGGCAGTGGCAGCAGGCGTTAACTTTGATAAGCGAGATGTGGAAGGGCAGGTTCGAGACTTCCGTCATCAGCTACGGCGCTGGGATTAGTGCGTGCATGACAGCTGGTCGTTGGCAGCATGCTCTGGCGTTGCTCAGCGGCATGAGGATGGCGACGTTGGAGCCAGACGCCATATGTTACTCTTGTGGAGTTCGTTCGTGCGAACATCAAGGCGGACAGTGGAGACAGGCGCTGTCGTTGCTGAGAGAGATGCAGGAGTTCGGTGTTCAATCATGGGCCCCTTGTCAAACTCCATCGTCCAGCTTTCGTCCGGAAGACCGCCAAGTCCCCCCCGAAGATTTGCGATTAGCACCGCGCACCGCCTGCTACCGCCACAAGACCGTCGATTACTGCCGAAGGCGGTTGAATACAGTAAGGGCATGAGAAACACCCTGCTTGCCTCCAGGGTGCTCTGGGTTTCTTGGGTTTCGAGGGTTTTGCTACGGAACGCGTGACGCTCCCACACCAAGCATCCATCGACGTCCTGGGGTCTCAGGGTTGGGTTTCATGTGGAAGGTTTCTTGTGGTCGGGCCCCTACTGTAACAATCACCACCCACCAACCCACCCCAACCCAACCCGAAGGCCCCGATTTGTCCTCCATTTCCAGTGGGGGGGGGTCGGGGAACATTCAAAAAACACATGGAACCCGTACCCCCCCAACCCGAAATTCGGGTCTTCGGGTTGGGTTGGGGTGGTCTGATAGGTAGTCCAACAAGGGGCCTGTGGTCGACCGCACAACAGGAGGCGACCTTCGAACCGGGCGTCGTTGGCTACGGCGCCGGGATCCGGGCGAGCGGGAGAGGCAAGCAGTGGCAGAGGGCGCTGTCCTTATTCGCCCAGGCGCGGGGCACCGGGCTGGAGCTGGACACCGCCATCTACAATGCCAGCATCTTCGCGTGCACGACACAGCACGGGCAGTGGCGGCGGGCGCTGTGTCTGCTCGGTGAGATGTGGGAGGCCATGATGGAGCCCGACGCCATCGACTCTGCAAGGAGCTGCTCGTCGCAGCGCGTGCGAGGGTGGGGGAGGAGGAGGCAGGCACGCGTAGACACGCTAACGGCGATGTACGCAACGGCGATGTAGGGTTGCGGTATTGTAGGTGGTGGGGGTGGTTCGTGGCCAACCCATATGTAAGAAAGCGCTGTTCGTGTGATCCTAAGATGTGTGTTGCGCGATTTCGGCGTCGCAAAAACCAGATTTCCACCATCGCCATTATCCAACATCGCCGGTAGCGTGGCCTTGGAATACCTCAAGATTTTCGTACGGCTGCTCCCTCGACCTCTCCCCAGGCGCGTCCCGAACAGGAACCCGAGGCCAATTGAGTGACAGAGGGGGGAACTGGGGGAGGTCATTACTGGTAGCGGGACTTGCGTCTCTCTCCTCGGAGCGCGGAGTTCCATTATCGACGGGCCACCTCCGCAATCTCTGGCCCTTGGCCCCGAGACAGCCCCCAAATGCGGTCCCAGGCTGGGAGGCCCGAAGACGGTCCGAGGCGTGGACGGCCCAGGGCCAGTCCGTGACGGCCGAAGGTCGGGCCGCGAGACAGCCCCGGGGGACCCTCTTTGGTGATCGTGGTCAGATTCATTGCTTTGCCGATCGGCGCGGGCCCCCGCACCCAAATCCCCCCCCCCCCATGGAGAAGATATTGGCTGTGTTTGCCGCCCTGCCAGTTCACGCGGCTTTACGAGTGCCTCAAGAGCGCCGCAGAGAGCCACATGACAGCCCCTTCCTCCCTTTCCCTCCCCAGTCGCTTCCCCTCGCTCATCCCTGCTCACTTCTTGCTCGTTTCTGGCAACTCGTGCCACGGGCCCGATGTTATCATGAACGGCTTTCGGCAGCATTTCCGCCATGACATCACGTGCCAGTTTTCGTGGACGGCAGTCCACGGGTCTGCCCCAGTCAGCTACAGCGGTTGCATCAAAGCGTGCGAGAAGGGCGAGCATTGGCAGCACGCGCTGTTGTTGTTAGGCCAGATGCGGGAGGCGAGGGTGGATCCGCACTCCCCCAGCTACACCGCTGGACTCGGCGCGAGCGAAGCTGGAGGGCAGTCGCAGCATACTCTGTTGCTGCTGAACGAGATGCTGGAGCCGAACGCAGTCCTCTGGTAGGACGCTCAGACCAGTAAGCACGTGGCCACACGAAGAGCGACCAGACGCAGCAGGCGGCGTCGCCGCCCGGCGGGGCGCAGGATGGCAACCTCGGAGCCGTACGTCGTCAGCGTCTTCGTTGTGTCCAACGCGTGGAAGCACGGCTTGCACTGCCAGCCGACGCCTTTGCTGATCGTCAGCAGCACCGAGGAAGAGGGCGCTGGAGCCTGCAGCCACCGTCCACGCCGCAGGCCGCGCCGACCCGCCAGGCCGGCAAGGCCCAGCATGGTTGCGTGGGGCGCCTTCGCCGCCGGCCCAGGGCGTGCTTCTTCCGACCCCCTGGGCCAGGGCGTCGGCGATGTGGACAGGCGGCGCCCTCCTACGATCTCCACTGAAGCTTAGGAGAAGAGTAGCCGACACCACTGCCCTTCTCTCGTCGCCACGGCCGGGTTCGTTTCCAAGTCTTGGTCCGAGCGTACCCGAGCCAGAGTGAGAGGCGGAGGATGCGGCGGAGGAGTAGGAGGAGGAGGAGGAGGAGGAGGAGGAGGAGGAGGAGGAGGAGGAGGGCGGAAAAAGAAGGTGGAGCGGGGAGGAGGAGGAGGAGGAGGAGGCACAGGCGGAGGAGGAGGAGGAGGAAGAGGAGGAGAAGAGGAGGAGGAGGAGGAGGAGGAGGAGGAGGAGGAAGAGAAGGCGGCAAGCGGAGGAAAAACAGGAGGGATAAAGGAGGGGGGGTGGAGACGAGGTCGAGGACGAGGAGCCCTCCCCCCCCCAAGACGCAGCCCGAGGTCTGCCGAGGCCCGCTGGCTGCCCAGAGGGCGGCCTCCCCAGACCTGCACGGATCGGGCGGGTGGCAAGTGGGGGGTGGCGCAAAAGGTGGGGGGGAGAACAGGGCCCTCAAGGGGCCCCTGAGGGGTGTCAGCCCCAGGGCCCGCCTGCTCCTGCAGGAGGTTCACCTTCCTCCTCCTCCTCCTCCTCCTCCTCATCCGCCTCCTCCTCCTCCTCCTCTCCTCCTCCTCCTCCTCCTCCTCCTCTCCTCCTCCTCCTCCTCCCTCCTCCTCCTCTCCTCTCTCCTCCTCCTTCCTCCTCCTCCTCCTCCTCCTCCTCCATCTCTCACTCCTCCTCCAACTCCTCCTCCTCCTCTCTCCTCCTCTCCTTCCTCCTCTCTCCTCCTCCTCCTTTTCTGCCTGTGCCTCCTCCTCCTCCTCCTCCTCCTCCTCCCCGCTACTCCTAGGAGGTCCCGCAGGGCTCTGCAGGCCAGCGGGGTGAAGACGGGCCCCCCCCAAAGGGACCCCGAAAGGCCCTGTGCAGGGCGCTGCTGGCACCTTGGGGCCCCTCAAAGGGCCCCAGAGGGACCCCGTCTAGGAGTGCTCGGGGGCCCCTTCTGGCTCCAGACGGGGCCCCTGAAAGGGCCCCTGCAGGGAGGGCCCTCGCCACCACGCCCTCATTCGCGTCGCCCCCCAGCTCAACCCAAGCCGAAGGCCTCGAGCTGCCCTCCATTGCCAGTAGGGGGGGTTCGGGGAACGTGGACAAAAACACATGCGGAACCCGTAACCCCCCCAACCCGAAATGCGGGTCTTCGGGTTGGGTTGGGGTAGGGGGCGACGCAAATGAGGGGGTGGTGGAAAGGGCCCTGAAGGGGCCTTTTTCGGGGCCCCTTAAGGGCCCTTCAGTGGCTCAGGAGGGAAAGAAACACACAGACACAATATGAATCCTCGATACCCCAGGAAATATGGGAAATTAGAAGAAGTGGGGGGGCAGACAAGAACCAAGAACATATACGAGAATATAGGGAATCTGGTTATGTGTGTGCATTTATTTGTGTGTCCCAGAGCTCCTTCAACTGCCATCCGCCCGAGAGGAACTCTGAACGCCCCCCCCCGCCCCCCACATGGTCCTCGCGGAACAAATAATGGCATGAACATGACAACTCAAAGGTCCGCGCAAATTCCGCCCCGCCCCCCATATGGTCCTCGCGGAACAAAAGGTGGCACAAGCATGAAAACTCAGAGGTCCGCGCAAATTTCTCGGATCGGCGGCGGACCCCCCTTCCCTGGCGCGCGGAGCGCCCCAGTGGCGGCGCCAGAGGCCCCCCCAGGGGGGCTCCAGCGCCGATCCAAGGAATCCGATCGGACCTCCGAGTTTAAATGCTTACGTCATTGATTGCTCCCCCAGGGACAGCCTCGAGAGTCTTCTCCGAGACCCCCTCGGGTGCCTCCGAGAGCAGTCGTCGGGCGACGAGGGCGGTACACACGCACCGGCCTTGGCCAGGCATGGGCCCAGGATCGGTGAACAGTCGACCCACGTAGTAAGGACGGGCAACCTTCCCAAGGGTACCCTTGCATCCTTGCCCCTTCGGCCCATCCGTAGCGACTTTCGCTGGCCAGCCTCGTTCGAAAAACGTTCAGATGGGCCCGCGCATCCTGGGTTGACTGTACATGCCTCCCTGGCCAAGCAAGGCGGGCAGGCGCACCAACGCTTGGCGCAGGCTTGGCCAGGCCAGTGCGGGTGCGGACACACACACACACAGACAATCACGCAGACAATCACACAGACAACCACACACACCGCCCTTGGAGCCGAAGGTGATCGGAAGCCGCAGAACATCGGAGGCGGTAGAACGGCGCAGACAACAAAGCGTAACATTCTTGCAGTAGAAGACACTCGGCAGTTCTGCACAGTTCACGACGGGGGGCCGCAATTCACGACGAAGGGTCGCGTTGGGGCCCCCCCGGCGGCGCCTCCCGCCCTTGGCGCGCTCCGCGTGCCAGGGAGATGGTCCAGCGCAGATGCAAGAAATCCGCGCGTGGTGCCCAAAGCTTCTGTTGATGGCGTCTTTATCTTCTTCTAGCAATGGCACGAAGGGCCACCGACTGTTGGGGCTCGGGCTCCCTCGCCAGGCGTTAGGATCGAAGCAGAAACAATGCAGAAGCACAACCTTCAGCCTCTGAGCTCCGCTCGGATCCATTGGACTTGTGGTGGACCCCCTGGACCCCCTTGGCGGCGCCTCCTGCACCGCCCCTTGCGTTCTCCGCGCGCCAGGGAGGGGTGTCGAGCGCCTAACCAAGAAAGCCGCAAGGACATCCGAAGGTCTATATATATAGTCCTTTGTCCTTCATATTATAGGAGAACTCCCCCGGATGGGCGTCATAATGGCCAGAAAGGTCCAAGATGGCCACCCAGATTGCCCAGAAGGCCCCCCGAGGGTGTCCAGACCGGCGTACGATACTCCAGACCAGCGTAAGATATTCCCAAGACAGCCCGAGGAGGTCCAAGACGGCTCCAAGACAGCTCAAGAGCGCTCCACAATTTCCTCCGATGGCTTCAGATAGCTTCAAGATGATTCAGAAAGGGCCCCAGCTAGCCTAAGGCCCTCATGGGGGCCCTCCAACAAGAGGGCTTCATGAGGCCAAACGTTTCTACGTTTTCCATATGGTTCTCGTAATACTTGTTGTAGTTTCTGACGGCCCTGGATGGTCTGAGAGGCCCCAAGATCGCCCCAAGACGGCCTAACATACCCCGAAGAGAGCCCCAAGATAGCCCTAAGAGACCCCAAGAACGACACAACACGGGCAATACCCTCCAAGCCGCCCAAAGACCCCCCCAAAGACTCCAGTACCACCCAAGAGGCCCCGAAGAGAGCCCCAAGAGACCCCTAAGAACGACCCAAGTCGGGCAAGATCCTCCAAGACGCCCAAACGACCCCCCGAAAAGGCCCCCGTATCTCCCAAAGGGGCCCCGAGAGGACCCCCCAGAGGGGAGGACATGGCCCCCCGCGAACGTCTAACACGCCCACCACGGTCAAGTTGGCCAACACGCCCTCCGGGGGCCCTACTGAACAAGCCCACGCACAGCCCTCCCAAAAATGCTTCCAGGTTTCCCTTGCTTCCTGGCTCTACCAGCTCTCGAGGGCTCCCACCATCTTCGGGAGGCCGCCCAAGAGGCCCACGAGCCCCTCGTTCTCCACCTTCTCCTCCCCCTCCTCCCTTCCTCCTCCCCCTTTTCCTTCCTGCCCACGTTCGTCAGATACTCCACGTGTTCCATGTTATTTTCAAACGTCTGCCATGTTCATCTTCTTTCACTTTGCAGCGACTGAGGTAAACCGACACGCGTTACGTACTCCTCGCGGGTCTGACCAGTTCGTTTCCATGAAGCCTGGCAAGGTGTGTTGGCAGCCATGCCGTTTCCCAGGGCAAACAGGACAGAAGCAGAAAAGGAGGAGGAGGAGGCGGAGGAGGAGGAGGAGGAGGAGGAGGCGGGGGAGGAGAAGGAGGAGGAGGAGGAGGAGGAGCAGGAGGAGGAGGAGGCCAGACCCTGGGCCAGCTCCCTCTGGCACTTCCGCCGCCGTGCCGCGGGCCTCAAGGTTCGCGGCAAGGGCGTCAGGGGCCCAGCGGTTCAAGAAGGTCATGTCCGCCGCCGCGCCGCGGGCCTCGGGGCTCGGGGGAACGGCCTCCAAGATCCCAGATCCTCAAGAAGACCCCTGCAGGTCCCCAAGAGACGCCCAAGAACCGCCCAGGACGTCCCGAAGGGGCCCCACGGGCCCCCAATGCCTCCCAGAACTCTCGAGCGTCCTCCCAGAGACCCCACGTCCGAGCCGATGTTCCCGAAGAGGGCACTGCGGACATCCATCCTGCTCTGGACGCCTCCATCGAGGTACCAACAAGAGTAAGAGGACCCCCCGATCTGGTGCCAGGAGGCCCCCGAGAAGCAAATCGGGCTCCACGCCGAGGCGCATCGCCGATGCATCGGCGGTGCGGCGCGATCCCCGGACCCCATCTACTCGAACCCCATCTAAGAAGCCTCTACTCGAGCAGGTGTTCGGGCGTTTTCCGGTTTCTCCAGCAGCGCTCGCCAAAGATCGTTCCGGGGGTGCCCGGATCGTCCCGACCGGTCGGAGACCCGAGTTATGACCCCAGAGCCATTGGGGAAGATTTCGGCCAAGCGAAATTCGGCCAGGCTGAGCTCGGCCAGCTGATCTCGGGCTGGCCGAGTTCAGCCATGGGCCAAGGTCAGCCAGCCGAGTTCAGGAGGAGGGCGGACGAGGGGCGGGGCAGGACTCTGGGCGGAGGAGGGCGAGGGAGGCGAGGGGACAGGGCGAGGCGGAAGGGCGGGCGAGGAGGAGGGCGAGGAGAGGCAGGGCGAGGAGGCGGAGCGAGGCGGAGCTGGGCGAGGAGGAGGAGGAGGAGGAGGAGGAGGAGGAGGAGGAAAATCAAAACGAGGGAACGCAGGGCGAGGAAGGGAGGCGGACGGGCTCGGCCCGCGCCCTGCGCAGGCGGCACATCAAGTCGCACAAGAAGAACATAGAGGTGTTCGAGCAGGCCCGCCGCCCGGCGCGGGGGGTAGGGGGTTTGAAGAGGAGGAGGAGGAGGAGGAGGAGGAGGAGGAGGAGGAGGAGGAGGAGGAGG